ATCAGAGAAAAGAAGGTGGCAGGAGCAAGGAACTGCTTTAAACTATGATATATGCTTCACATGGTCTTAGTTCTCCTAAGAATCTCAACTGACTTTTCTTTTTTTTTAACCTAAAAATAAAACAAATTTTGCATCCCTTTTCACACTCGTGCTTCATTCTTCTTCGAATGCTAATTACAAATTTTTCACCCTTTGAAAGTTGGTTTACCGAAACCCAAGAAATTACTTACTCAAATCAGGAAAATTAAAATGTAAAGGAGTGAAGTCTTGTGGAGCAAACTACAGACAGTTCTCCACTTTGATGAGCTGACTTCGGATTTTTTGACATTACCATGATGCCAAACCATCATGATTTCAAGTAATGTACAGCATTCAATAAATTATGTGAGTTATTCAACACTTTATTATAAAGTAGTCTTTGTGTTAGATAATTTTGTCCAACCAGGCAGCACGTTTAAGTTAGGCTTGGCTAAGCTATAATGTTTGGTAGGTTAAGTGTATTAAATGAATTTTCAACTTAGGATATTTTCAATCTACAATGTTTTTATTGGGACGTAACCCAATCATAAATAGAGGAGCATTTGTGCTTTGTTACTGTAGCTCTAGCAAACTAATACAGTAGATAACCTGCGGCTCTGGAGGCTGGAGGAGTTTGCAGGAGTGGGCAGAATGGCCACAGCTGGGAAACACAAAGATTTAACAAGCGCCAAAAAAACAGGGAGGGGCAGAGGTCAAAATCCAAAACGATGCTCCTAATATAGCATGAATCAAAAAAAGCCAAGCAAAGGAGACAAAAACTTAGTAAAAGATTCAAAGACTGAACCAGAGATAGCAAGTCATTCTGTTCTCAGCTCAGATGTCACCTCCTTAGAGAGTGACTAATTTAAGGTAGCCCTTCTCCCCCATCCCGCCTTTGTTTAGTCCGTATCCGATTACCCTACTTACCACTACCTGAAACTGTTTTTGCATTTGTTTATCTTCTGCCTCTCTCTCCTAGAAAGTAAGAGAGAGGAGACATTTGCATTCGCTTTCCATTTCCAAATCTACTTCATTTGTAGATTTGTTTTCAGCGTTTTTCAGATGTCTTACCAGCTTACTGCCTGGCACCTAGTAGTGTTCAGTGCATCCTTCATGAACAAATGAAGTAGATTTGGCAAGGCAAAGGAAATAAGAAATTAGAGACATTACTTGAGACACCAGAGAACGGAAGCAAGCTGCTTGGTGAGGGTCCTGCAACCTTGCCCATGGTGAAGGGAAGCTCAAATGATTGCCAGGCCAATTCAGTGGAACTGGCAATCAAGACATAGGAAATCAATGTTGATTTGTAGTTGCCTATGGTTAAGATTCTCCAGAGAACAGAACCAATAGGATATATTTAGATATAGAGAAAGAGATTTATATGAGGGACTGTCTCATGAGATTATAAGGGCTGAGAAGTCCCATGATCTACTGTCTGCAGGCCGAAGGCCCAAGAAGAAACCAGTGGAATAGTTTCAGTCCAAACCCAAAAACTTGAGAACCAGGGGAGCCAATGTTGTAAATCGCAGTCTGAGCCCAAAGACTCAAGAACCAGAAGCACTGATGTCTGAACTCAGGAGGAGATGAGTGTCACAGCTCAAGCAGAGAGAGCAAATTAGTCCTTCCTCTATGTTTTTGTCCTATTTAGGCCTTCAATGAATTAGGTGATGCTCACTTACATTGGTGAGGGCAGTCTTCCTTACTCAGCCTACAGATTCAAATGCTAATCTTTGCCAGAAACACCCTCACAGACACACCCAGAAGTAATGTTTCAGCAGCTATCTGGGCACCCCTTAACCCAGTCAAGTTAACATATGAAATTAACCATCACACTGCCTGAACCATGAAGATGGACATGAAGCTGGCACCCCAAACAATGCACAGTTCACCAGAGACACATTATCCACCCACTCCTAGGCCTTACCTCTGGCTGTACAAAAGAATTTCAGCAATTCTATGGGTTTCTTGAAATAAATTATTCAGAATAACAGACATTCTACCATGCGGTTTCTAGGAGAAATATGTGCTTCTTAAATTGAAAATTCTGCCCCACTAACTTCCTGAAAAATGAAGGTGGATAGTTACTGGAGAGTTCTGTGAATGAGGTAATCTGAAATACAGTAAGGCTCCTGGGGAAAAAGTCTTTCAAGTGTTCCAGTTGAATGTGTCTATTTACAGGGATTTGTATTTAATGGATGACAAGTTAATGTGTCATCAGTGTCTGTGGTTGTGATGAAGTTGCGAGGAAAATGACAAGTGTTACACATGCAGCTTTCTGTTTTACTGGTACACTAACTGGTCTGTTAAAAAGGATTTCTTTTTTTAATCTTGTAAAACTGAAAGAACTTTCCAGAGGTTTCTGCTTTTGTGGTATTCTCTCTCTCTCTCTCTTTTTTTTTTTTTTCTTTTCAGTGGGCTTTTTGACTTTGAGTTTTTCAGGAAGGAGACAGATTTCTCAAGCAGAAAATCCGGTACAGTATACTCACTAAGCTGGATGAACAGACCAAAACACTAACAGCAATAATATTTATTTAGAAGAATTGATCAATGTATGTCCTCAGGATCTAAAACCATAAACTGATGAACTGACATAATCCCCTCACTCACAGTAGATCCTGCTCTTTGTATCATAATACCATCTGCCTGGATAGAACCCTTTCCCCAAAAGCTCAAATGATTTGGCAATGGTTGTTAATACCTAAGATGTATTTGGAGAGGAAGCAGATTTATTTTTGCCCTCTCTTTATGTTTAAGGCTACTGAGACACAGAAAATCCACACCACAAGTCAGAATTACTCAAGGAGTAACCACAGACATACTGAGCCATTACCAACTACTTTATCCAATATACATTAAATGAATCTTTAGAGTTCCGTGCATGATGCTACTCTTTCTTGTCTTTAGTTACATTACTATTTCCGGCCCATGGGCATATTTTTTGTACTGTTTTGCCACCTGAGAAATCGGTTTGGTTATAAGCAAAAAGGCTACTTTTTTAGCACCCCTTGCTATGAGTTCTTATTGTCCTTAGCCACTCTTCGGGTCTTAAGAGAGTTTCTTTTCACACTTCAAATTCTCTGATTTTTTTTTAACAGAGGATTTACTAGATTCTAACTTGCATTCAGCATTGTCTAAGATGTAATACTGTGCCTACTTTTGTTCTCACATATGAAGACAACAGGAAAAAAGGTCAGTAGAAATAGTGATTCTATGTGCGTGCATGCGTGTGTGTGTGTGTGTGTGTGTGTGTGTTTCAGGTCTTCATAGAAAAGAACCTGCAACGTGTTTCTAAACCTCTTTAACAGTTTCAGCTTCCCCACCCTGCCCTCAGCATCTTCAAACTTTAATGTGCTCTTTACAAACCATCCCTTTTGGCACTTTTTGATTATCAAGAATCCCTACAGAATTGGTATAGCACAGTGTGTAGGAAACTAGAATGAACTAGAAAAATTCTAAGAAATGGAAACACATCTAGGATATAAATGCATGAGGCCAGGAGTGGTGGCTCACACCTGTAATTCCAGCACTTTGGATGGCCAAGGCCAGAGAATCACTTGACCCCAGCCGAGGTTGAGACCAGCCTGGCCAACACAGTGAGACCTTGTCTCTACTAAAAATAGAAATTTTTAAAAAATTAGCCAGGCATGGTGGCATGTGCCTGTAATCTCAGCTACTCAGGTGGCTGAGGCAGGAAAATTGCTTGAGCCCAGGAGGTCAAGACTGCAATGAGCTGTGATTGTGCTACTGCACTCCAGCCTGGGTGACAGAGTGAGACCCTGTATTAACAAGTTAATAAAAAATAAATGCATATATCACTGGGCGAATAGCAGCTTGAGGTGCTCCCTGACACCCTGGGCTTTCCCATCCAAGATATTGCCTATGTCTCAACAGGCCTTAGGAAGCTTGGAAGTGACTGTTTATGTAGTCACTCGCTAGCTGTGTGATCTTGAGCAACCTGCTGAATGTTTCTGAGTTTCCATTCTCTCATCCGTCAAATGGAGAAAATTGTACCTCTCTTTTAACACTGTGAGGAATGAAACTCTAAAATATAAACAATAGAATGGCATGGAATGCAGCACACAGCACAGTGCTTCCTACAGGCCTTTTAAAATGAGAGCTGCAGTAATAATGGTAAGAAGTATTGTATTTATTACCTGTCCAGAAAGGAATGCTCATTCTTCTGTTTAAAAAAAAAAAAAAAAAAGTGTTTATAACCTTTTTTCATGTTCTCCTCTATTTCTATTATATTTCTCCTTTTTTAGCTCCTTCTAAACCGCCCAGCTACCTATGTTTATGCAGTCCCTTCCCCCAGAAAATCACACAGAAAAGTATCAGATAAAACAAACTCTCAGCTGAGCAAGGTGACTCACGCCTGTAATCCCAGCACTTTGGGAGGCCAAGGTAGGAAGATCACCTGAGGTCAGGAGTTGGAGACCAGCCTGGCCAACATGGTGAAACCCCGTCTCTACTAAAAATACAAAAATTAGTCAGGCGTGGCGGTGCACGCCTATAATCCCAGCTACTCGGGAAGCTGAGGCAGGAGAATCACTTGAACCCAGGAGGTTTCAGTGAGCCGAGATTGCACTGTTGCACTCCAGCCTGGGTGACAGAGTGAGACTCCATCTCAAAAAACAAAACAAAACAAAAACAAATTCTCGCTTACTCTTCTAAGAAATAGAACTATGCAAGAGGAGAAATCCTTAATTTGAATGAGTGAACTGCTATTGAAATAAAGGGGGCCAGGCACGGTGGCTCACGCCTGTAATTCCAGCACTCTGGAGGCCGAGGCAGGCAGATCACAAGGTCAGGAGATCGAGACCATCCTGGGTAATGCAGTGAAACTTGTCTCTACTAAAAAGTACAAAAAATTAGCCGGGCGTGGTGGCAGGTGCCTGTAGTCCCAGCTACTCAGGAGGCTGAGGCAGGAGAATGGTGTGAACCCAGGAGGCGGAGTTTGCAGTGAGCCGAGATTGTGCCACTGCACTCCAACCTGGGCAACAGAGTGAGACTCCGTCTCAAAATAAATAAATAAATAAATACATGGAACAGGATTTGGGGAAGATAAGATCCTCCCTCACATCCTTTAGATTTCACAGATGGGTAACTAGCTACTCAGCTCAGGACGGTGTCTGAGCACCACTCACTATCCGATCCCTGCTAATCTCTCCACCTGCCCTCCCCCATCCTTCTCCCCATCATCCTATCCTCTTCTTTTACTCAACTAGTCCTGGTACACACCATGCTCTCTCTCATTTTATGCCCTTGCATATGCTGTTTCCTCTGCCCAGAACGCCTGACCCCCAGCCAGATAATTTCTAGCCATCCTTAAAGATTCAGCTTAGCTTCCCTTTAGTGAACTTGCCATAGCATCTTCCCCAGGACTTCCTCACTGTTTGACCCTGGCATGGGTGGAGGAGTGAGATTCACATTACAGCCTGTGTGAATGGCACCCTCTGGAGTGGTGCTGTGGACAGTCTGCAGGACTTAACCTTGTTCTCCCACACTCTGCCCAGCATTCTTCCCCTGTGTATTCCAGTAGCCTCCTAATGTAAATTTTTATTCCACCATTTTATCCATTTACTTGAAACCTTTCCTCCTAGTCTAGCAGTTTCTTAAGGGAGGAGTATGGGTTCTGTTTCTGTTTTTCCAACACTTCACATACAACCGGCACTCAATAAACTTTGATTAATTGGTTGATTGATGGATGCCTGGATTAACAAATGAATGAATAAATTCAAGAGTTGAATGAAGGCTTAACCATAGAGTTAGAGGATAATAACTTGTGAAATGAACTCTGTAGAGATGAGAAAGGAACAATAAAAAGAAGATCAAAATGTAAAGTGGAAAAATCCTCCATTAATAGCCTGATTACTGGCTCCCAAATATTACCTGACAGGAGCCTCTTCCAGGAGAGGCTTTTGGGGAGGCCCTTATCATCTTACTAATAGGTGGCTCACAATGGAGTAGAAAAGTACGCAAGAGGACAGAGCAATATAATGACAAAAGTAGACTAAGAATCAGATACATAGCCTAAGACAATGGTAGAGAAAGTTTGCTTTCTAATACCATCTTGGGACTTACTTATAACCTTTTGTAATTGAAATTGAATCCATGTCTGTATATTCCAAGTTAAGAAGCTCTTTTTTTCTATTCCTAGTTTCTCTCACTTCCTTTTGCTTACTGTTTAAAGTTTCAAAACTTGCTGCACATCACATCCTTTTTTTATCAGCTTTGGTGCACCTTAGAACAGAAATTTCCCCCAGGAGGACAGGATACAGGAGCCTATATTTAGAAAGTACTTATTATGGTTTGGATGAAGACCTAACTATGCCTAGAGTCAAGCTGCTTGAAGCCATTCTAATATTCATTTAGTTAGAATGGTAACCACACTGAGTTATTGCTGGTCTCATATGGATCATATATTCACAGTCAGCTCTTGGCTTAGACAAGAAGATATATATATTGTCTCTGCTGTTCACATCATGTATTTTTATTTCATTATGCCTATTGTGCTTAGAAGCATGATTTTCAATCTATATTCCCAATTAAATTATTTCAACACAGTCTGTACATGTAAGCACATAGTTTTCTTTGAAGCAGACTTTGTTAAAATTGATATCTATTCTCTACTATCTCTGCCTTCCAGGACTCCCACATTCTGCTCTAACGAGAAAGGAAGAAACAATTTTTTACATGAATGGACTTCATAACCAGGCACACAGGAACTGGCACGAAGTTTTAAAAGTTCTAGAAAGCAGTAGAAGTTCTAGAAAGAATGAGAGTTCCAAAGGAAAACTAAATTTGAACACCAGCTGAAGTCTCTGTCACATCTTCATTGGATCTGTGGCCCCCAAACTCAATTGTCCCTCTCCTTATACTCATGTTGGATTTATAGGCAAATGTAACTAGGTAAAAAAAAAATTAAAACGGCCAGTATAATTTCATCAAGGGAACACATGGGTGAATTGCTGAAAACCATAAAAAGTGACACCATTTAGATCAACTCCAAAATAAATGCTGCCAGCTGTCTGAAAGGTCACTTGGGTGATGGGTTCCATGCTTGAGAGGTCAGCATATCCTCTGCATGAAGTTTCATAGAAAACTAGAATTAGGAGCTAAGCGTTGTGAGAGTCAAAGTAAGGAGAAAAGGAGGAACAGTTGGGAATTACTTCTAAGTCTGAGTCAAGAGAGACACAGCATTAGCAGAGATTTTCCAGTGTGATAAACACATATTCAAATAGAGAGTTAGAGAAGGCAAGGAAATGTTGAGAATCAATTCCTTCACCAGAATCAAGCAAATAAAAGCTCAGACTTAGAAACTGGAAAAGAGATATGAGGCCATGGGTGAGATTTCCTATCTTGAATGAAGACTTTAGTGCCAGAAAGTATTTCACTGTAACAACAACAAAAAAAAAAATACCTCGTGTGAAGAGGGGGAATTCTTTTTTTAAAATGACTAATATTCCACTTCGTCTTCATCCAGAATTTATAATCTATGTATCTCTTAATTGGGTATGAATATACATGCACAACTTCTATCAAGAAGAGAGGAAAAGGGGAGATGGTTATGACAGGAAGTTTTTGGTACTGGTGGAAATGAATGATCATGTATATTTTAATCCTTGTGGGCGATTCTTATACCCTTGTTATGTTTGTTTAAGGATGTAGAATGAGGACATAAATCTAAACGACAACTGTACTTTATTGATTTTGCAGAGTTAAGAAGAGTATTTATGAGGAATGGAACCCTCCATCAGATTTGGAAGAAAGTAGAGTGAGCGCAGAGGTGACAGACAGCCACTGAGGCCCATGGACAGTTTCCACTTCATGCTTCTCTATCAAACTTTAAGATTTATTAGTAATATGCTACCTTTGGAAGATGAAAAGAAACTAGTGCCAAGGAATCATATTCTTCAATATTTGAAATAGACGTGTTCTCAAGACAATGGCTTCAAAGGTCTCCTGTTTGTATGTTTTGACAGTTGTATGCTGGGCCAGCGCTCTCTGGTACTTGAGTATAACTCGTCCTACTTCTTCTTACACTGGCTCCAAACCATTCAGCCACCTAACAGTTGCCAGGAAAAACTTCACCTTTGGCAACATAAGAACTCGACCTATCAACCCACATTCTTTTGAATTTCTTATCAACGAGCCCAATAAATGTGAGAAAAACATTCCTTTTCTTGTTATCCTCATCAGCACCACCCACAAGGAATTCGATGCCCGTCAGGCAATCAGAGAGACGTGGGGGGATGAGAACAACTTTAAGGGGATCAAGATAGCCACTCTCTTCCTCCTGGGCAAGAATGCTGATCCTGTTCTCAATCAGATGGTGGAGCAAGAGAGCCAAATCTTCCACGATATCATCGTGGAGGACTTCATTGACTCCTACCATAATCTTACCCTCAAAACATTAATGGGGATGAGATGGGTGGCCACTTTTTGTTCAAAAGCCAAGTATGTCATGAAAACAGACAGTGACATTTTTGTAAACATGGACAATCTTATTTATAAATTACTGAAACCCTCCACCAAGCCACGAAGAAGGTATTTTACTGGCTATGTCATTAATGGAGGACCGATTCGGGACGTCCGCAGTAAGTGGTATATGCCCAGGGATTTGTACCCAGACAGTAACTACCCACCGTTCTGTTCGGGGACTGGCTACATCTTTTCAGCCGATGTGGCTGAACTCATTTACAAGACCTCACTCCACACAAGGCTGCTTCACCTTGAAGATGTATATGTGGGACTGTGTCTTCGAAAGCTGGGTATACATCCTTTCCAGAACAGTGGCTTCAATCACTGGAAAATGGCCTACAGTTTGTGTAGGTATCGCCGAGTTATCACCGTGCATCAGATCTCTCCAGAAGAAATGCACAGAATCTGGAATGATATGTCAAGCAAGAAACATCTCAGATGTTAGAATTTTTACCAATGTAAATACGTTTCTTTTCTTTTTTTAAGAAATGGGACCTAAGGTGTTGGTATTTTCCAGGTGTCGGGGGAAATGAACTGGTGAAGGGGTTTTATAAAGTTTTTGCTTCCTGCTATAAGTTCCTTTCTTGGATTACCAATTTATAAATGTTAGACTCTGGTCATAGAAACAATAAATGAGTTAGAAGGGCCAGATTTCATTCTCAGTCCCAGAGCATTGCTATTTATCTCAAAAAGTGACTTCCAAACAACTCCTAGGATTGACATACTGTGCATCTGAGATAAAAATTTGGTTCTGGGAAACTGAAACTCACAGTAATGTATCATATCATCTCTGCAAAAGTTAATACATAAACAGAAACCATTTTCAAAAGCAATTCAGAAAGGATGCACAGTCAGGAAGACACACTGGATGTGATTATTAATATCGTGTGTATTGTTACATTATATTTTTACATATTTTGCCATGTAATGTATACAGTATTTGCAGTTCCACCAAGAAATGAACTTGGTACCTGCAGAGAGGCTGCAGTTAAATAGATGGGAGTTTAAATTTGAGAATCAAACATTCTAAGTGTTTGGAAGACAACTCTGCTTGTTCCTCCAAGGATTAAATCTGGTCAGCAGGTGGAATGTGTATAAAATGCTACTTAACAAAGTAAACAAAAGATTTTTTTTCTTTTTTTTCCTTTCCTTTTTGTTTTGCTGTTTCAGAACAAACATTAAGTGGTGCCTCCAAGGAAACTTTGCCAAATGTCATCTCACCTGCTTCCTTCCAGACAGTGTTGCTAAGTGCATTTCACAGTCTCTGGATCTGGCAGGCATATGTCTCTATGTAGAAAATAAGTTGGTTGGAGGCTGGAGAACAATAAATCACATTGAGAAAATAGAAATTTAAGTATGCATTATAATATAACATAAGCTTAGCAATAGTATAAGATGCCCCCCAACACATTTGCAAAGCACGTGAGAAAATCTTTAAGGGTGTCAATATTATTGAAAGACGTGGCCCTACTTGCTAACATCTGAAAACACCAGCGCATGTTCAGCAGCAATGCTGTTATGAGGTATTCTGGGGGCTCTGTGATTGAGGAAGGATGGGGAAGGCCGGGTTCGGGTCCCGTTGATGCCACCATACTTATTGGGCCATATGAGTAGGCATCATAATCTTGTGCTTCAATGTGTTCATTTATAAAAAATGGCTGTAAAAAACACCTACCTCACAGATGCTGTGAGAGCAAATTGCATTTGCTAAGTATTTTGCGATCCTTAGCTTAAAAGGTGCTACGTAATGCAGTGTATCATGCATTATGCTAAAAGCTAAAATAATTGCATAGTTACAATGATGGTCATCAGTAACATTAACATCATCTTAATATAAAATCTGCTGAAATAAAGATCAGCTGTGAACTGTCAGTCGCCTAATTCTGCCAAGGCTTTGACTTTTCCTTGGCTGTAATTTAGGTGTTTGGGAAAGCTTCCATTTCTCTGCGATTTCTTCTGGTTTCAATGAATAAGGGACTAGGTCAGTGTGTTGCCTTGATATCCCAAGGTGCTGAAAGTAGAGGCAGCTGCCTTTCTTTGGGAAGGAACCTCTGGTTGGGGGTATATTACAGTAAATGAAGCATATGCTTTGCAAAATGCATCACGACAACTTAGATCTCAGGAACCACTGAATCTGAATTCTCTCTCAGAAATTTGAGCGCAGGTAAAGCTAGTTCACCTCTTTCAGAAGAAGCAGAATAGGCAGTCAGCAAACCTGCACATTGCACATCTTCTACCATTTATTAGAAAACACCTCTTTGTTCTCATTCAAAGAAAGCCCCGCAGCTGAAAGAGTGTACCTTTTTTATTTATTTGTTTATTTTTTAACCTGACCCCTGGAGCCCCCCATAGGAGCTGATAGCAAACAGATAGACACAATGAACAAGTGGAAGTCATGGCGTGTTTCTGCAAAACACGATCTCTCATCCCCCGCCCTAAAGGACCCAATGTGAGACAAGACTTCCCATCCCTTAACACATCGTCATCTTCTGGTCAGCAGGACTGCTGGTTTTGAGTAGACAATAGCAATTAGGTAACCTGGGAAGAGACAGATCAGCACAAGGTGAACCACCCTCCAACCCTGCAGCCTCAACTGCTGTGAGTTCCAGTCACTGGGAAAGTCTCACTTCATACTTGGTTCACCTTCGAGTCGTGCAGCTGAATCAAGCCTCTGTCTCATACTATTGCCTTGCATCTACCCCATGCTCAAACCACCTCTGGTGTCAAGAAATTACACATTATAAACATCATATATGTACACCTATGAATCGTTTTATATGTGTGTGCATACGTTATGAATACAGCCCTGATCTTTAAAAGGAGCAAAAATCAGAGAATCATATGTCTTAAAGAACTGTTTCCTTACTTTTTTATGCTAGGTAATGCCCATGTGACAAACATGTAAATATTCATGAAAGACCACATGTATATATTTTAAAAGCATTTTTTTCTTCTCCCCAACTGTATGTATAGCTAGAATCTGCTTGCTGTGTAACATTTTCTTCTGCATGGAGCTTTTGGTGAAGTAAGGCCATTTGTCCAGTGTTTCAATAGCCTTAAGCATGTTTGCCCTTCATTTTTTGAATGTTCAAAAAATGGTTAAGTGATCAAGAAAAAGCTCTAACTTTCTACTTTTGTTAATTTTATGACATGACACTGGCCAAAATATTGTTTCAATGAGTGTTGAGCCATTCTTACCATCTCCCTGACATAAAATATACAATGTTTTAGACAGTATTGTACCAAGAGTCTTTTAGACAATTTTTACAAAAACTCTTTTTTTCCCATTATGCACTGGATAATAATAGTATCAGTGTCTATGTTCTTAAAGTTCCTTTTTTAATTTATTTTTTGGAAAAAAGTTTCTCTTTTGTGGCTAGTTTAGGTGGCTTTGTGTCTTCTTATATTGGAACAAGTGTCAATTTCAATATATAATATTGTATTTTTAAATAACCAGAATCAACAAAACAAAGATCACTTTTAATTTGGATTCAATTCAGAAGAATAAAACCCCTTTGCGTGACACGATACGGGGGAAATAAACTATTTACAGAGGAGCCAAGGAAGACGTTTTTCAATCAAATCTCTTCTATCAAAAGACAATGGAATATTTACCTAACGCATCTGGGATTCATTTTTTACCTTTCCTAATATGTGGGTTTAGTGGGAGAATTGATTATGTCATTTCTTCTGTAAAGGTGAAAATAGTTTTTATAAACAACAAAGTAACTTGTGAATGAAAGAAGTAATTTACTAGAACAACGCTTGTTGATGATAATTGACATTTAGGTATAACGTTATATATGAATGATTGTATTTATGTATTTATTTGTCAAAAATGTACATACCGTTTCACCAAAAGTAATTGTCTGTAAAAGTGCACTCTCCAGGTTTGTAGTACTATTTAGGGTTACATGGGTTGCCAATCAAGCTGCTAATCAGAATACTATTTTTTGTATCAATGTTATAAAACTAAAAATGACAGACGCTGAAGATATCATTACATTTTCTTCACCTTCCTCTTGAAATGTAAACTGTTGACTGAAAGCACGATGCTTATGTACAGGCCCATCTGTCATGAGGAAGATTATGGTTCCATAAAGCTGATTTTTTTAAACCATTGGGACAAATAAACAGAAGGAGAACAAATGTTTCACTTTTCTTCTTTTTAGAAAGAATCTCTGGTGAGACGTGATTGCTAAAAGCTGATGCCCTGCCGCTCACCATTGACCTTTTCCACGATCTCAATGTAGGTAATAGTTTATGCCATTCACAGCTCATCCCCAAGAGCCCAGTGCAACTTAACAGTTAACACAGACACTATTCCATCTAGTAAGTAGACCGGTGGCTACTCTGGGATTTAGGAAACAGGGATTCACTTGCCCCTTGGTGGCCTGAAGGAATTATTTAGTTAAAAAGGCTAGTTAAGCCTTTGTATTAAAGACTATGGGTTAAACATGCCAACAAATTCCAACTCAGGGGAGCACCCTATTAATAATGTGTTTGGCAAATTATGACATGTTAAATCTAAGGCAAAAATGTCATTCTCATGGTTCATCTGCATGTATTCTTTGGAATACTGCATGTTACTTTAGAAGTTTAATTGGATCAGAAAAGATTTATTCAGACATCCTTCACAGCAGCCAAGTAGATGTTGATTGCTGATGCCTGATTGTGTAAGCAAGAGACTGAGAGCTATTTAAGAGACAAAAGTTCCTTTTATTATCAATCCTGATCTAGCTAAACAGATATTCACTTTTTTCTTTGTTTTCTTCAACTTATTTTAAGTTCAGGGGTACACGTGCAGGATGTGCAGGTTTATTACACAGGAAGTCGAGTGCCATGGTAGTTTGCTACACAGATCATCCCATCACCTAGGTATTAAGCCCAGCCTCCATTAGCTATTCTTCCTGATGCACCCTCCCCTGAACCCGTCCTGACAGGGTGCAGTATGTCGTTCCCCGCCATGTGCCCATGTGTTGTCATTCAGCTCCCACTTGCAAGAACATGTGGGTTTGGTTTTCTGTTCCTGTGTTAGTTTGCTGAGGATAATGGCTGCCAACTTCATTTATGTCCCTGCAAAGGACATGATCTCGTTCCTTTTCATGGCTGCACAGTATTTCAGATATTCACTTCTTAATGGAAATTTAACTTTTGATTTACTCTCCATATACCTTGGAGTTCAAAAAGGTAAAGTTTATCAGGTGAGTGGAACTATGTGAATAAATAATAAAAACATAAAATATACAGATTTGTATTCCACATAACTTTTTCAAAGGACCAACATCAAAAGCAGTGATCTAAAATTATAGTCTCCAGGTCAGACACGGTGGCTCACGCCTATAATCCCACCACTTTGGGAGGCCAATGTGGTGGGTCACCTGAGGCTAGGAGTTCAAAACCAGCCTGGCCAACATGGTGAAACCCTGTCTCTACTAAATGTACAAACATTAGCCAGGTATGGTGTAATCCCCGCTACTTCGGAGGCTGAGGCAGGAACTTGAACCTGGAGGCAGGGGTTGCGGTGAGCCAAGATTGCGCCACTGCACTCCAGCTTGGGTGACAGAGCGAAACTCTGTCTCAAAAATAAATAAACAAATAAATAAATAAAAGTATAGTCTCCAGACCAGGAGCACTAGACTCAACAGGGA